AGCAGCAGGTTTGTCTTCTGCTGTGCGCTGTCCTGGCCGATGTTAAAATGAGCCTGTGCACCCCAAGCGTGCCCCGGGCAGGACCAGAAGATGTAGGAACAAAAAAAAGGAAAATGTTGAAATTTGTAGCACAAACTACTCCATATGCTTCCTTGGGAGCCGGTAGGGGAGGCCGAGGGCAGGAAAGCGAAGTCCCTGCCTCCCCTCCACGCACCTGAACCTGGGAGGGGTGAGGCTGGCTCAGGCCAAGTGGGCAGTGTCTGTGACCTTCTGGTTCCTGCTTGCCCTGAGACATGGAGACTGTGGAGTATCTTCACAGGCCTGAGCTCAGAGAGGAGTCTCGAGGGTCATCCGGCTCAACCCCCTGTCAAGCACAGGACTCCATGCTTGAATACTTCCTGTGACAGACAGCTCACTACCTCACAGTCCTCTGTGCTTTCACAACTCAGATAATTAGAAACCTTTTCCTTTCGCTCAGCTGGATGCTGCCTCCCAGAAGCTTCCACCCGCTGGGGCTCTGCAGACCATACCTTATCTCAAGTTTATCATCTGGTTTCTAGGGAGAGGAGAAACATAGCCATCGTGGCATCTGGAAGCTCCTCCCAGGGTCCACCGGCTCAGGAGAGTGAACTTATCTCAGGCCCTCCCAGTCCTGGCTGGCTCCAGCCCACCAAGAGCAGAAGGGCGGGGTCTGAGAAGGAGAAGAGAAAGCGGGGGCGGAGGCGGGGGGCATCGGAAGTGAAGGGAGCTGGACAGGGCAGAGGAGGAGGGAAGAATCAACGGAGATGACGAGGTGGAAATGATAGGAGCGGGAGGTGGACCGCAGGGGAGGGGTGACGGGGGCAGAAGAAGGGAGGAAGGAATGACTAAGAAGAGATTTCTCAGCCGGTCTGAAAATGGCAGGTGACAACAGGGGCGTCTGTATAATTAAGCAGTGGCTGACCTCTGAGGCCCTCCCCGATACCGATATCTCATGTCTCAAACACGGACACGCTCTGCCATTCCACATCCACAGCCTATGGCTCTCGGGCTTCTCGTAGCCCAGTGGGACTTATGGGGGACCCGGTCTGATAGTCCCCAAGAATCTACCAATTTAAACTTTAACATTACTTCTGACCAAGGAATGCGATGTAGCAATAGGATGGGGCGAGAAAGAGAGAAGGTTTTCACCCGGCTTCACACCTGTGTCCCAGTCTGGCTGTCAGAACCCATCAGTCACTGTGATTAGTGCCGGCGTCAACCCCATAATTGTGCCTCACTGTACTTCTGCGCAATTTAAAAGCATTAATTTACTCGATGTAAACATTAGAACATATTTACCACAGGTTTTATAACTCTGTTTTGACATTTTCATTTTTCAAAATATAGGGAACCCCAGAAAAAGGTTAGTGGCCTGGGTCCTCTCTCTGGCTCGTCTGAGAGGCCCTACAGAGACCCTCCCCTCTGTGCTCCTTGAATTCTGGCCATTTCTGATCCAAAGGGTCTCTTTTGCTGTAACGCTTTTTGCAAGGCTGGAGGAGGCTTGAGAAAAATCCAGGAGCGTGTCCTCGTCCCTAGCTAAGCCAGCCTTCTCCTCCATCTAAGAATAAAAGGTCCACTATGGCCTCCAGCCTTGGCCTCTGATTCTCCCCTCTGGGCAGACAAGGAGGGCCAGGCTGGACCCCTGGTGGATTCTCCATGCTACCCAGCCCCTTTTTTTCGGCATGAGTCCTCTAGGGCCGCCTCCAAGCAAGGACAGGGACACTAGGGAGGTCCAGCCAGACCCAGGGGGTCAGGGTGGTGAGCTAGCACTTTGGGGTGAGGGGATAGGAACTGTAGCATGTGCTGAGTCAGGGGATTTCTAGGGGTTCCTTAGGTTAGGACACACAATTACCCCAAACATAAATATTTCTCCAAATAACTAGTCCACACTGCACCTGGGGAAATGAATCACTTCCTGTGATGTCATCGCCCCATGCCCATCTCCACTGGCTTTTCTGGAGGGTTCAGACTCGGGGCAGCTCAGGTGACTGGCACATTTCTTCTGGGGAGCTTCCCCACTTCTACTAGCAAAGCTAAATAGAAACCCTTTGCTTGGCCTCAGTTGACAAGACACCTAGCAAGGGGGTAGGGGACCCCCAAGTTCATTATCAAGTATAGACAACCCAGTCCCTGGAGTGAGCTTCAGGCTCCTGCCCCAGGTTGACAACGCCACACTCTTTTCTCCCACCTGTCTTGACAAGTCCACGTCCCCCTTTCTGCACTTACGGCGGACCTCACCGTCGGGTCTACTTTTAAACCAATTTGCTACAGAACAAACTTCTATTTTCTAGCTGAGAGACTCTCAGTGGCTATGACCCTAGTCACCACCAACACCCAGGATAAAGGGCTCCTGGGTGCAGGTCTCTCTAAATGCTCATTCAGGACCCCGAAGCAGCACCTCCTTTAAGAATCAACTGGAGCACAGCGGCTACAGACAACCCAGCCAGCTTCCTCGGTCCCCTCAGCTGCACAGGTGTCCACATTTGAGGATGCTAAGGTGCTTGGGGATCCCAAAGGAGTTTACAGGCAGCATCATTCAAAGGGAACCCACAGAGCCAGCGTTGCTGTGAGCACCTCCCACTCCCAGGGCACCCACCATGCAAGAGGCTCTACACGTGCATGTCTCATTTATCTTCCCCCCTAACCCATTAAGGTCCCTACTAATGCTTCTCCATTAGTCAGATGAGGAAACCGAGGCCCAGAGGCGTGTAGCAGGGGGCCTGAGTCACACAGCCACGCATGGAGCTGAGGTGAAAATCCAAGTCTGTTCGACTCCAGAGTCTGGGCACTTCACCTCCACATTGAACTGAAGAGGGGACCAGCTCATCTTGTCAGGGCTCGGAGAGAGCCAGTGACTGGCCCGGGCCAGATAGCAAGTCAGCGGCAGAGCTAGGATGTGTACCCAGGTCTCCTGGCTCCCAGTCAAATGTTTCTGGCCTTAGCAGCTCTACGAAGGGCCTAAGGTTCTGAAATTGCCTTCCAGAAACAGCCATCCCCTAGGACGAAAACAGGGGTCTGGAATCGGGAAGATGGGGGCCCATAAGAGACTGCTGTCCTGCTCTCGGTGTTAGAGTAGGGTCACCAGATAAAGTGAAGGATGTCTAGCTAAATTTGAATTTCAACTAAACAGCAGGGTTTTTTTAAATACAAGTATATCCCTTTATCCACAAGGGATATGTTCTCAGACCCCCACTAGATGCCTGAAACCATGGATAGTACTTAGATCTACTGTTTTTTCCTATACATACATACCTATAATAAAGTTTAATTTATAAATTAGGCACAGGAAGAGATTATCAACAATAACTAATAACAAAATAGAACAACTATTACAAGATACTTGTGTTGAGGAGATGAAGTGAGGTGGATACACTGGACAAAGGGATAATTCACGTCTCGGGAGGGATGGAACAGGGCGACTCGAGATTTTATCACGCTTCTCAGAAGGGCGCACAATTTAAAACATACGAATGATTTCTGAAATGTTCCCTTTAATATTTTCAGACCACGGTTGACCACAGGAAACCGAAACTGTGCCTAAGAAGGGGAGGGCGGCTGTACTAAAAAAAATTAGTTGCTGTTTATATGAAATGCAAACCTAACCGGGGGTCCTGTATTTTCGCTTGCTAAGTCTGGCGATTCTATGTCAAAAGGGCAGGAGACAGAAATGTAAAGTACGGCATAGGGAATATAGTCGATAATAGTGTAATGACTATGTACGGTGTCAGATGAGCACTAGACTTATCGGGGGGATCATTTCATAAGGGATATAAATGTCTAATCGCTGTTTTGTACACCTGAAGTAATATAATATTGTATGTCAACTGTAATCGAAAAGTTAAAAAATTATTTTTAAAAAACGAGGTAGAAGAAAGTGGGATCTCTGCTGGCCACCTAGTTTTGAGAGAACCAGCCTCACACCAGGGCCCCCAGCATGGTTTAGAGCCAAAGTCTGACCTCAGGGCTCCTGGCTCTCCTTCCTCAGCCTTGTCACAGGAGCTCCAGGCCACTGCTCAAGAGAGGGGAGGGGAGGGCTTCTGGGGCATAGGCTCACCTGAGGACAGGTGGGAAGCCAGGCCCAGCATCCATTAACCAGACTGGGAAAGCACAGGGGCTGAGACCCAAGAGGGCAGTAGAAGCCCGACCCTAACCTTGTGACAGACCCCTGCCCCCACCTCCTCTGGGAGGGGACTCCAACCCCCATCCCTCATCTGCAGGGCCTCCAGCCCTATCTGATCCAGCACGATGGAATCCACGGCCAGTCTGTCAGAGGCAGAAAGGCCCCCAGAAATGCCCAGGTCTAACTCTATCAGTGGCCAGGTGGGGAAACTGAGGTTAAGCCAGGTCCCTGAGCATACCTCATCTGGGCAGAGCCAGGACAGGGAGGACCTGGGCCAACAGAAGCTGATGCTTCTGCCGCCTCTCAGATGTTATTACGCCATCATCACTGCCAGCATCATCATGGCAAACACGAGCCCCAGGTCTCATCGCAAGTTCTTTTCCTTTTTAACTCATTGACTGGTTCCCCTAACCACTCCCTCCTGATCCCTATCACCTTGGTTAGCCTCCAACAATCAGGTTGCCACACACCTCACCCCTCGACCTCAGAGAGATGGTTTGTATGTAGGAGAGAAACTGGAAGATGCCCAGTCCTGTTTCTGTCTCAAGCAACAATTCATTCTGATCCTCCACACAAGTTCTACTCAGATATCCGAACGCAGAGAACCAGACCTCAAAGCCCGGCCCCAGGGCTCAGAGCCGGAACCCTTACCCAAGGACGGGCCGCCAGGGTCCTGACCCTGGTGCTGAAGCCGGAGCCCCAGGGTGGACCTGATGGCCTAGTCCTTCCCTCTCAGGCTCTACAGCCAGCTCCACCTGCTCTGCTGTCAAAACAGGTCCTGGACACCCACCCCATTGCCTGGGGGTTCTCCGTTCTAGTCCAGCCCTCTGCAGCCAGGTGTGCATCTCCCAGTTCTCACCTGTGAACATCCACATATGTCTCGACTCCCACCACACACACTGCATAGGTGGGCTTCTTCAGGGACAGCCGCACAGCTCTCTGTGGGGCCATCCTGTGCCCCTGGCTCCCGACCGCCACGCGCCCTGTGTCCCCAGCTTCTCTCCTGGCCACCTTGCTGCGTTCTGATGGGTCACTGTTTTCCTCCTCCCTTTTAATTTCACCCTGTGGCCTGATTAGTCCGCCTGAGATAAGTCTCCACCTCCTGACTCCACGCCCAGCCCTCCTCACTCAGGTCTGTCAATCTGGAAGGCCAAGGGAGGAGGCTCCAAGGCCTCTCTGGGGGATGGAGAATGAGGCTTTCAGCTGGTGTCCCTGGTGTGTGGCTCAGCTGCCAACAGAAGACTACTAAGCTCCCCCATCAGCCTCCATCCCCCTTCCCTAGCTCTGCCTTGATCCTCAGACTGCTGGTGCCTAAACTCACTAGACAGCTGTTAGCGTTCTCTGAGCACTGACGACTATGTGCCGGGCATCAGCTAAGCAGTTTGCATATCTTATCTCATACGCTAGGAGATCAGGTAACATATAAAGCACAGTGCAGTAACACTGCCCGGGCTCCAATCCCGGCTCTGCCTCTTACAGCCTATGATCTCAGGCACTTACTTCACCTCTTCGTGGCTCCGTTTCCTCCGGGTAAAGCGACAGCTGTAACCAAAGCACAGTCCTTTGGATTGAGGTGGGGATTATAGCTACGCGTGAGAGGTTCAACACAGGGCCTGGCACCCAGCCTTCATGAGAAGAAATGCTAGTACTTATTAGTAGTATCCCCATTTTGAAGGTCACACTGCTGGTAAGTGGTAGAGCCAGAGCTTGCACCCAGGTCCACCTGACTCATGGCTCTTTATATACCATCCCCCCAAAAAAGGTTAGGTTATGTCCTCAACTTCAGAAATGGCAGAAGCCACCCCAAGCGAGCATCCTTGGCCACCCAGTGGAGAGGCCACTTAAGAAGGAGCTCAGAGCAATGGGCTGATTCATTTCTGCAAATGCCCTCCCTTCAGCTCTGGCAAATGCTGGCTCCCTCTTGCTCTCAAGGTGTTTGCAGAATTTCATTCATTCGTTTGACAAGCAATTTATTGAGCACCTACTCTGTGTCAGGCACTTCTTTAGGCAACGGAGACGCAAGGTATTGGGGACACGAGGCGATGGGGGAGAAAACATCAGCCATAATCCCTGCTCTGATGGCCTTTACATTCTGGGAAGACAGACAAGTTACATAAGTAAAATGTCGATAACATCAGATGATACAGTGATGCTCTTCCCCATCATCCAGGTGAGAGATGTCATCCAGGTGAGAGATGGTGGTGACAGTGAAGATGGTGAGAAGTGGTTTGATTCTGAGTGAATCTCGAAGATGGAACTGAGAAGGTTTGCTGAGGAGTCGGGGATGACCGAAGTGTTTGGGGCCCCGGCAGCTAGGATCGAGTTGTCATCAGGGAGATGGGGAAGGCTGGAGGTGGACAAGCTGGGCGGAAAGCTTGGCTGTTCGTGTTGGACTTGGTAGACATGAAATGTGTATTAGGCCGCTGAGTGGCGGCGATGAATTACAGGTGACATGCTCCCTGCGTGTGGGGCACTGAGGGCGATGAGGAGGGAGTTCCCTCGGAAATCACAGACACCCCTCCTCAGCCGCAGGGTCCTCTCGCTCCGGGCAGCCTTTGCATGGAACGAACTAAAGGACACACAACCAGAACTCTCCCGGCTCACAGGTCTGAGGCAGGAGGATGGCAAAGGGAGAGATGGAGAAACGAGGAACACCTCCTGTCTGGGGATCTACCAGTCTGATGGGGCAAGAGGGGGGACGCAGTCTCCGCCTCCAGGAACCCCCAGCCTCATTAGGGAGATGGGAAACATAAAATGGCATAAACATTTATTTGGTTACTTTTGGTTTTGAAGACCTCCAGGACTGATCTTTCTTACTTCCAACATATCTGATTACAGATATTCTCGATCTACAAAGTTCATTACACCCAAAGTCTAGGCTACCCCATGGATACGGAACCCAGCAAAACAGCACTTCAGGGATGTGTGGTTTCCACCCCAACCCCGTGCCCCCCACTCCATGAACCAGGGCCTGAGCCATTTTGTTCGTACGTTATGTAATGTGGACTGTAAAAAGCAGATTCCCTAAGAGCACATGGGCATACTCCCATTAAAGAAGGATGGATGGATGGATGTGGATGAACAGATGATAAAGAGGGAGGAAAAGAGGAAGGCAGTTTAGTGCATGAAGAGCTGTGTGCAAAGATGATGATGATAATGGCGATGATGATGGTGACAAGGACAAGAATGACGACGGTGATGATGAAATGCTGGCAAACACACAGATAGCCTTTACCACACGCCAGGCCCTGTTCTAAGCCCCTTCCATGTATGGACTTATCTAATCTTCATGACAACACCAGGTGGCAGGTACCAATTAAGCCTGGAATCCCAAGCTCAAACAGACCACAGCAAGGGTGTGCAGGAGCTGCCCTTTGTGGGTTGTGGGCAGGGCAAGGGCCCCGGCAGGTCACGGTGTCTTAAAAGAAATGTTCTCAAAGCTGGAAGAAAGAGGGAGGAAATAGCAGAGAGTGGGCAGAGAGGCTGAGGGGGACATCAGTGCATCCCCACTTTACAGATGAAGACACCGAGGCACAGAGATGCTAAGGGATCCTCTCAAGACCTGAAGCTGGAAATGGTCTAGCGAGGATTTGAGCCCAGGCCATATGACCCTAGATAGACTCGTAATTGTTGACTTCATCCCTGGGAGGTAGAATGTCAGGTCCTTTTACCTTCTTCCTCATGCTTTTGTGTATTGTTTGAAGAGCTTTTACGAGCAAATATTTGTACTATTAGAAAAAAAAATTAAGTCTCTCTTTGAGAAAAAACAAGAAGAGTTTCCTGCTCTTAGCCTCCCTTCCCACCCTTTGCTCTCTGCTTCCCGCCTCCTTCTCTCTTTCCTCCAGCTCTAAGAACATTTCTTTCAAGACACCGTGACCCGCACAAGCCCCTGCCCTGCCCATGACCCACACTGGCGTCTCCTGCACACCCATGCTGTGGTCTATTTGAATTTGGGATTCCAGGCTTAATTGGTCACATTCGGGAGGAGTGGAGGTGGGGGAGCTGGATGACAGCATTGCCCCCTCTCCCCTCTGGCAGATAGAACATGCCTCTGGGAGGGCCTGCCCGGGGTTAGCCTCAAACTATGCAGGGGGAGAGGCCTGCCAGCTGCTGAGTGACCGCGAGACTCTAGCATGACTCTAGGACGTCCTGAAAACTGCAGCAGGGAGGGTGTATGGTGCTGGCATTGCCATGTCCGGCCCCTCATTTTCCCCACTTTTCGACGGGTTTTTTTTTTTTTTTTTTTTTGAGTACCTAGCATATGCCAGGCATTATTCTTGGCCCTGGGGATACAGCAGTGAATTGGACAAACCAAATCTCTGCCCTCAGGGAGCATACAGAGTAGCAAGAGAGACAGGGGATGAAGCATAGGGTAGAGACTGGGGTGCCAGGAAGGGGTGAGACACGGCGAAGCAGGCTAAAGGGGCAGAGCAGATGGGGTGCTGTTTCGAGGAGGCTGATCGGAGAAGGCTTCTCTGGGGAAATGATATAGGATCAGATACCTGTAAATGAGACTTTGGCGATCTCAAGGCTTCTTCCAACCTGAGATAATCTAGGACGCCATTAACTTCGCAGCCCCCAGCCCCCTTCAGTGTCCCTATTCAAAAAATGGGGTTGTTGAGCTAGAGCAGGATTTCCACACTCAGATGCCTGCAGGCGTCAGGCAGACAGCATAAATGGGTGAAGCTGCCAGAGGTGGGACAATAGGAAGGAGTGGCAGCTGTGGCAAAGGGACTCGAGCCTGCTTTGGCCAACTCATTTAAATGCAATGTTTCTTAAAAAACAAAACAAAACAAACAAAACACACATAGGGAACACTTTGCGTCAGGCAAAATCCATTTGTAAGTCAGACCTGGCCCTTAGGTCATTAGTTTGAGACCCCAGCATCAACTATTTATGGATCGGTGAGTAAGGAGGGCAGTGGAGGGAATGACTGGTTGGAGAAGTCATTTGATGCCAATAAGGATAAGCCGCCGGGGCCAAGGTGAGCCTTGGCACCATCAGGGCAGAGAACTCCCCTGCCTCAGGCCTTGCTGGGCTGCCCCCATGATTGCTGACACCAGCTGTGGGCTCTTCCACTCTGGGAGAACCCCTCCCCAACAAACACACACCGCCTGTGCCTGAGCTTGCTGGAGAGAGACATGGAAGAACTGAAGGAGGATCAGCAGAGGGAGCCCACAGGCCTTTCTCCACCCACAGCACGCTGAGCACCACTGGGACAGTGCCCCCTGTTCTCCAGAATCCTCCGCTTCAAGCTAGGAGGGCCCCTAGAGACCATCAGTCCAGCCCTTAATTTTCCAGCTGGGTAAACCAAGGCTCGGAGAAGAACAATGACATATCTGAGATGACACAGTAAAATCTCAAGAAGCCACATCTGTATCCAAGGCTTTCATTCATTTCTTCATTGTCAAAACATCTATTTTGGCACTTTTCGTATACAGGTGCTGTTCTGGGAGTAGGAGTTCTCACCACCTGTTGAGTCCTGACAGCTTTTTATATCGCCTTGCCTTTCTGGGATCTCACAGCGTACCCCCAACCCCTTCCTGTGCTCCTGGCACCCAGTGCAGGATCCTGGACCCCCAGGTAGGTGGAGGAGGGACCTCGGGGGCACTGACTTAGCCATTATGAGAAAACTGGGTACCCACCACTTCCTGCAGGGCCGAGAAGCCTGAGGCCAGTGGCTCTAATAGCAGGAAAGGGTGAGGGTCATGAGTCACCCAACTCAATCCACACAGTCCCCTTAGAGCCCGAAACCCAGGCCCAGGTCTCCACTGGGCAACACGGACCTTCAGGAATCACCAGCTCCTTCCTTCCTCAGCTCTGGGACATCCAAGGCTCAGTGTGGAAGCATCAGCAGCACCAATGATCCACGCGTGGGGCTGGCTGGGCACAGCACAGGCCTGGGAGGGCTCGTGGTCGGGCAGAGTCAGCCCCACTCCCACAGGCGGTCA